TATATATATTGACTTTTTTGCATGAATTCTCATTTACTGAATTCTACTTCTGTAGTATATTTATTAATAAAATATTTAAACTTCTTGTAGAAAGATTATTTTTAAAATTATTAATCATAAGTTAACAGATCTAAGTTCTTAATGGACTACTTAACCCTGGATGATAATGATTAATTATATATATTATATGATTATAAAAACTATAAATATGTATTTAAAAACAAAATAATTTTTGTTACCTCATTTCTTAATTTTTTTTCCTTTTTATAAATTTTTTATTTGTTTGAAATACTTAAATTTATTTTTTTTAAATTCAACTATTATTTAGATATTTTTAATAAAATTATTTTAGTACTATATTGTTATAGTTATAGTATACTAGATTGTTATAATTATAATAATAACTATAGTAATAATCACATTACATATTACTGTTTAAATTTCTATTTGTACTTTTTTATTTAAAGCTTTATTTTTATTTTATTTTATTTTATTTTATTTTATTTTCTTTATATAACTTTGAAAAGTTGTTATTTGGCTTATAAACATTACTGTTTTATAAATACTTTATTATTTAATTAATTAATTAAAATCTTAATTCATTTCATTTACGTTAATTTCTTATACTTTATATCTATATATAATTATGTCATATTTATCATGTGTAGCTTAATTTTTTATATTTTATTTCACATTATTATTTGATTTTTATTATTTATTTAATTATTGTTTATTTTTAAAAATAATAATATTTAGCTTTTTAATTTTATAATTCATTTTAAATTTATATATTATTAAAACTTTTATTAAATTATTTTTTTATTTTATTTATCTAAAAGTTTAAAACCATTTTAATTACTTTTTTCATTTAATATATGATTATTAATTTTAAAATAATTTATTTTGAAAATAATATTTAAATAAAACTTATTAAGTTTTTTTTTTTGTTTAAACTTATATTTTTGCTTTAAAAATTTTTTATACTAAGTATTTGAAATTTTTTTGTTAATATTTGTATATACTAATATAGTAAGAAATTTAATGCCTATTTATAAAAAACTATATAATTTTTAAGCAATCTTCTAAAATATTGTAAAATATTTTTAATTAATTATAAAATTGTAATTCAAATAATTTAAAATTTAAAACACCAAAAGATATAATGGATTAAATTCAATAATGTAGGTGAAATAATTTTATAAGGTTTTAAAATATAATATAACTACGCATATAGACGAAAGTGTAAATAAAAGTATATATAAGTTCTTGTGAAACTATAGAATATTTATAATGATTACGAAGTTTGGTTATAAAACAATATTTATAATAAAAAGGCATATAGTATATATATAAATTATAAACAATAAAAATATATTAAAAAAATATTATTGTTTTATTTTAAATGACATATAAGAGTAAAATGTGAGTAAAAGGTTTCGACAGAGAGTAAATTAATAAATAGATCTTGTAAATTGAAGTGTGAACTATATACGTGGACTGTTTAAAAAATAATGGTTTCTTGTTCAAGTGGATATAAGATTTCTTACCTTAGGTTTAGTTTACATTTATGTCACTCATTTTCCATTCAATTTTGTACCTATGAGCAAATGAGAAAATGCATACCACAAGACATTATTATAATATAATATGAGGACTAGATATGCCCATAATTCTACTTAAATATATAATGAAAACATTTGCGTTGCTGCATATAACAGATCCTCCATTGAGAGTGGAATCCACCTTCCTTTTGGTACGTAATATGAAAATGGGGGAATATTAAACGCGTTTGATCTAAAGAATTTATCGTCTAAATTTATTGATAATATGAACAAAAAGTAATAGGAAGTAGACACGGTAGATAAAATATCCAGTAAACCGAAATTGAACCAAGCATTCCATTAAATTGCCAATATTTTCACATTATTTGAAAAGCTTGTTTGTGTCATTTAATATTAGTTATGAATGTGGGACTCTGAGTTCCAGATCAAGTCACTCCTAGAATCAAGGGATGTAGATTCATTGACAATAACTGTCAATTAAAATTATGGCAATTATTTACTGAAATCGGATATATGTATAATTCGAAAATATTTGAAATATAGTTTTGTTCAGGGTGCCAAGTTGTTGTGGTAGTAACATGACAGGAATTACACGATTGATACATGGATTAGCATGTGGATGGGTAATGGTTGAGTAAGGGTGGGAGGTTAGGGAGTCATAATAGCAGTTTGCGTAAATTCCCTATTATCATAAATTAAAACATTATATTTCTAAGTTTTGAAAGTAATCAGTATAGATTTTATTTATAATTTCTTCAATATATTTTCATTCACGTTTGTTGAGTTGTAAACTTTTCACAAATGATTTAATTGATATTTAGAATATGAAACTTCTTACAAACTTATAAGTACAGCAAGTAAATACTTTGTAAATTACTTATTTAATAAAGTAGTAAATATATATTTATGTATATTTAAGTGTTTTTTATTTTATTTTCATCTTTTCTGATATAAAGTAATGTGTTGTGAGGTGGTTAAGATAGTCAGAGGTCGATAGTAGTAGTTTAGATTTAAATTTCCTGCAATGTGTCATTGGTATTGTAAATAGCTACACTCATACTATATAATATAAGATATGGCTATTCAATCGATAAATTGTTTTAATAAGAAAATGTAAGTGTAAGAATATAAAGTGTATAGAGGTACAAAGGTCACACTGTGTGTAATCACATTAATATCGGATAAAATGCATTTATTAATAATAACGCAATCATTTCTTAAATTTTTACTTACAATTCTCATTGAGTTTAAGGGATCTTACTAAAGGTTCTTACATTAAAATAGCAATTTACTATTGCTATTATATTGCGTAGAACATATTTTACTTAGTGTTGAAAAAGGATTATGTAAAATGAAAAAGAGGTTCTTAAGCTATGTGACGAAAGTTTTTTTTATAAAATTGAAAAGGTGATAAATTATATATTAAGTCTATAAATACAGCAATGGCGCCGGTGGTCCTTAACAAGATACGCTGTTAGAACGCAAATTGCGCTGCGTCCATGTAAGATCTATTGTGCATAGATCTTTATGTTTGTACGTTTAATAAAGTTTAGCACAGTTTAGCGATATGTTGTTCCAGAGATTGTATGAAGGATGATCAACATCTCTAAATGGAGAATATATGTATATATGGAAAAATATATTGCTTACTATTCATACCGTTTACTATTCATATCATTTCTTACTATTCATCTTAATAACGCATTAATGAGATAATGTAGAGCAAAATTTGATTATAATTTAAGTAGATATTTTTAGGAGGCAGAAAAAAATAAATCTCAGGAATCTAATTTTTTTTCTGTGTGTTAATACATAATAAGCTACAGGACCTACCTCTAAGGAACATTTTAGGCTTTGCCAAAGGTTAAAGGTCGCTTTGAATCCCCTGAGTTTTTAAACTGTGATACAATAGGCCAATCGGCCTCAGTGAATCCTTAGGTTAGCCGATATAATCTAATCTAAAAATCTGAAATATAAATACATAATAAGTTGTTACCGTTGGAGAAAAATTATTTAATGAAACACGAACGAAATGAATTGGAATAGAGCCTCCTGTTGAAAAATGTGTTGACAATACACATTGTTAATAGACAGTTAATGGACATTAATAGATAATTAATAGTATTTAATATATTAATTATAAATTTCAATTAAGTAAAATGGCCACTACCGTAATATTGACATTAAAATCAAATTTATGTTAGTTATAAATGCTATAAAGAGCTTATAAGTTTTATATGATCAGTTAAAATTTAACTGCATTTTATCCGATATAACATGATTTAGAAAAGTAGAAAAATATTTGTTATAATATAAAGACGTAGAGTTCTTTAGTATTGGTGGGAAAGTTATAAGATAGATTTTTGTAATAGATTTTCATATAGATAAATATACATATATAAATATGCTGCTTGAAAAAAATGTATATGCAAACAGCAAAACTTTTATAAAACTTTTTCTATTATTAAATATATTTTTTAGAAAAATTTGTTTTTTTTCTCTTAATTTTAAATTTCTAAACAAGTTTTCAAAACTGCATAAGTTAATTAACACTAATATTTTTACCTTTTTTTTAGTTAGTCGCAAATTTAATTATTTTTTCCTTTCTTAATTAAAAATTTCATACTTATTAAGTACTTTTAATATATATAAAATACTGTAAAACTCACAAATATTAACGCCATATTCTTATCTAAATTGAGATTTTAAAGAAGATAGTTGGCGATTATAACCTTTTGCGTAAAAAGATAATTTTTAATTTATCTTTAAATGACAATGTGTTAAATTTTTAATACATTTTTTCTCAATATACTTAAATAAATTTTTATAATATAATTTTTTTTCCATTTGAACGATCATAAATGCTAATATTTATTTTTCTTTTTAACTCATTCAACAATTTCTCATAGTTTCTTATATTAATTTAATTTTACTACATAAACTTTTAAATAACTTAACAGTTTTTAGATAAAGAGTACAAAGAGTAACAAAAGGTTGCAGAACTTGGTAAAAAACGTAGACCAAATCTGTCACCCACAGTATGTTAGTATAGCACCATACAAGTGAAATATCTTAAAGTTAATTTAATTATATATTTAGTATTACAGTTAGTTGAGTTTAGAATAAGATAAAAAGAAATACATACATAAAAATGATATATATGAGAAATGTTTAAAAGTAGTATATATAAATATAGAAAAGATAAAAAATAAAGACTTTTAAGCAACTTAAACAATTAATACTTATTTAATAATTTTATAATAATTATATCTTTTCTCAAAAGTACACTATATTTTTATATATAAAGCAGCTAATACATCAAATACTTAAAACTTTTATTGTAATATTTTTATTATTTTTTTTTTTCATCATTTTCGAAATATATTTTTCAATGTCTGCCAATTTTTTTACTTTTAATTTTTATTATTATAATATTTTTTTTTAAATTAAAAATTAATAATTTCTTTTTCACTAAATACCTTTTTGCAATTTTTGCTTTATTGTGTTCAATATTGATTTATTATTATAAATATTTAATTTATTTATTTATATTCTGAACAATATCTAATATATTATTAATTTAATTTATTTCGAAAACGTTTAGTATAAAAGACAAAGCGGTATTTAGGCAACGAGTGATTCAGCAATTTATATATAATTTTAATTTTTTTTTTTAATTTATATTTAATTTTTCTTTTTATTTGAACTTACACCAAAAGCATTCATAAGATTCGTTTTTAAGATTTTAATTTTTTAAATAATTTTTGATATTTATTTTTTTAAATCTTATTTTTTTATTAAATTAATACAAAAATATTTTACTGTTATGAAAAGTTAATATAATCATATATAATTGAGAAGAAAGTGAATGAAAATTATTTTGTATAAAAGAAAACACAAAACATTGATTTTTCTTTCAATAATACCTATTGAGTTTGATGTAAGAAAATTTTTTAAGTTATTTGCATTTATATATCATATGAATATACAAATATTTTATCAAAAATTTCTCTAATATTACTATTCTTTTATATAATTTTTATTTAATTGCTAATAACTCTCTACTTTATTAAAAATGATATTTTTATCAATCACAAACTAAATTTTTCAATACTACTACATATTTTAATAGAAATATTTTTTTCTGCAATTATAAAGAATATATTTTTACATGAGTAAAAATAATATACATCATTATAATGATTTATGTAGTTTTTATTCACGCATTTCAATTGTATATGAAAAGATTTCATGTACTTATCAGATATGTATCGAGCAATCGCTATAAAGTATATTGTAAAGAATTTTTTATTAATAACTCTAAATAATTACTAATTTTAATTTCTACTACTACTAATTAACTTATAAACATTTTTTTTTTGTTAACAAGAAATTATTCTTTATCCGTATTACTTATAATAATAGAAATATTAGTTTATGTTAGTAGTTTTGATTAAAATTTGTAATAATAAACAAAAAGCTTAAGGAACCCATCAAGGATAATATACATTTATAGTAATAACTAGACTTATTTATAATAATAATTTTAATGTTATTAAAATTAGAAATTATTTCATTTTTGTTTCATTTTTGTGAGAAACATAATAAGACAATATAAAAATTTTTATTTAATGAAATATTACTGAAAATAAAAATTTTGTGAATATAAAAATATAATTTGTAGGAACAATTCCACATATAAATTATTTATTATTTATCTTCATATTTTTATTATTATAACTTGAGTAAAATTGAGGATTAAAATGCATATAGTGAACTGAAATTTAACTCATACTTTGATGCTGCTGTTGAAAAGGTGTTGAAATCTATATAATATATTTTTTGACGGGCACGAGTTCTATGGACTATACGACTATAAACTAATTAAGAAATTCTGATCACCACTGATGATGAGTACTTGACAATACTCGAAATAGCGTTGTAAGATCAGCCAAATTTCAATAAATTAACTAAATTTTTGTTTTTATCTTTTCTTTGCTATTCGAATCCGTCTATCATATTTCTATTTTTCATTTACTCAGACAAATATGTATATTTTATTCTTATTGTGAATACCAAAATAAATGTTTAACTATCAAAATATTAATTTTAATGTATATGGATTTTCAATCTTTGGACTTCATCAAGTATAGCAAGCATCAAAAATTTGCCAAAATTAGTAGTCAAAAATTGCTCACGTATGGCATGGATCATTAGAATTAACTCAGTTAAAAAACTTAACTTAAACAATTTCATAATAAAATTATTGAATTCAAAATATATTGCAAAATATTAAAAGTAAAACATATTATTATATTACAGGGACCGGAAACCATAATTATTTCAAAAATGTTTAAGATAGCAACAAAAAAATGATAAAAATTCTTATTTAAGTATATAGTTATCATTCTAACAACTTTAATCATTAATATTATGCATATTAAGTGTTTCAAAATAAAACAAAAAACAATAATTAAATTTGAATGATAAAAATTTATATCTTATTTTTCAAAAATAATTAACTCCATACACTCTGCTTTTTATTTTAAAATGCCTTACTTTTACCTAAAAAATAAAAAAATTATTATTTTTAAAAAACAAATATAACTGACACATCGGGCGTTTAATTCAAAAAAAAACGATATTCTTTGTTTTGGAGCTGTTTTTGTAATATCATACAAAACGTATAAAAGGGTTGGTATAAAGAGTTAATGTTGTTTTATTTTTGCTTTTATACAAAAAACAAAAACAAAATTTCCACTTAAGTGCAAAACAACAACAAATAAGCTTGATTTGCTTATGAGATGAGAGGCTCCAGTTTGCAATATAAAAAAAAACAACAACATAAATCCTAATATACACACACACACACACACACACACACACACACACTTTAATACAGTTCACAAACAACTTAGCGAAGTTAGTGACGTCATATAATAAATTTCAATTAATAAATTGTGTAAACAAATCTTAATATAAATATGAATAAAAATAAAATCAATTGAATATTATTTAAATCATAAAATATTATACGCAATGTTAAAAAAATGTAAGATGAAGTAAAAATTGTTTGACAAACTTACCTCTAATGTAAAGAAGTAAATGCATATTACACTTTTTTCTAAGCCAAAACATATTATATAGATATATTAAATATAATTAAATAAATTTAACAAATAACAAATTCAGTCTAACAAATTCAAAACTTTAATTTTACTACGTATTTTTTTAATCACAACTACGCTTTGAAATTGCATAATAATAACGGTTTGAAGAGATAAGCACTTGTCAAAATGGAATTGGAATTTTATTGCTAATCCGCAGGGTTGCATTTATATAAAAAAGCTTAAAATTAATTAAAATTTTAAAAAATTTAATATGTATTTAAAAAAATTTGATAGTATTCAATTAATTTTTATATAGTGTATGTGGTGTATGTATATTTTATCATTATCATAATATATATAAAAAATATAAAATTAAAATATAATTAGATATGTGTTTATTATAATATAAAAAACATAATAATACATAAAAATTAATTTATTATGAATTTAAAAATGTTTTAAAGATCACTGATAATATTTATTTGCTATACTTAAAACAGCTAAAAAAATGCCAAAAATGTAATTAATTAAATATTTGAAATAATATTCTTATATAGCACGAAATAGTTTTTAATTGGTGATTTGTATTTTTTATTATATAAAAATAAATAAGTCAAAATAAATAAAATTTGTGTATAATTCAACATATACACAATTAGTCAATTAAAATATATTGAAATAAGACTTTTTGCTTTAAAAAGCATTTATTTTCATATTATTTGATTTTAAATAAATTAAATTAAAAAAATATTTATTTAATATATATTTGTTTTAATACTATAAGACCAAATACAAAATATAAGATATATGATCTTAAAGAAATATTAAAATAATGATTAAATATTCACAGAATTAAAGAGAAATATGATATCATGCTATAGAAAAAAAAAAATATTTTGACAATGAAGATATTGTAGCGTACACCTTGACATATATATTATTGATGTTTATTTCGACATACTGGAAATAAATTGTTAATTATTAATTACGTTTCTTTAGAAAGTTTTATTGTTACTATTATTAAAATTAACTTGGCTGAAATAATCAACTAATCAGCTTTTCTATGTTTTAAGTACAGAGTAAGACAGAGTAATAAGTTTATTAACTTCAATTTGTAGCCAAAAAAGCTTCTTTATATATATTATGTATTTCTTAATTGATAATTTTGAAATCACTGGAATTGAACCTACTATTTATTACATTCTGTTTATGTTGTGTGTTATCTTATACGTATATTTATTTTAGAAGCCTACAAATCTATGCCGCAAATCGAGTCCGTGGATTCTTTTACGGATTTAAAATGTTAATGTTGTTATTGCGATTGTAAAGGAAATCAATATATCTGCTACTTAAATACGTTATTTCAGAGTTATTCAAGATTAACGCAGTCATAATTATACAGTTGTTTTATTTTAATAGTCTATTAGTTACTTCTGTGGACATCCAAATAAAAATTTAATTTTATTTTTACTTTTTCAAGTTCTGCGAAAAACCAAAAATTAGAAAAATTGACATTGGAGAGCTTTTTTGTTTAATATTTCGTAATTGTGTCGTAAATATGTAATATTTTTTACTACTTATTATTGTTTACTTGCATTTTTTTTTGACAGTTAGAGCTTTTTCTTTTAGTGAGAGCTGTGACAAGCTCTAACTAAATATCTAATAGACGGAACCGAAAAGTATATTATATTTTGAAGCATAGTTTTATATAGAATAAATTGCAAAAGCAGAGCATATATATTTTAAAAAAGTAATATTAAATAAATCTAGATGAAACAAAATAGATATAAAAAAAAAATAAGAAATAAAAAAAAAATAGAATTATTAAAATAATTGTTTGTTTATTTAAAAGTTAATACATTCGAACTTAAATTATGTTTTTAATATACATATTTATATTATTAATTTTATAATTGATCATTAAAAATATATTTAGCATTTACTGCATTGTAAAACTTTTTTAAATGAATTTTTGTAATTCAAATTTAAAATTTAAAATTTTTTTCTTACTATATTTATTATTTGTAACTTAGGATTGCTTTTAATTTGAAACTTTTCATAATTTCATGCATAGATGATATAAACTACAAAAAGATAGCAATTTTTTAATGTTTTTATTTTTTACAAGTTAAAAAATTATGACAGAAAAAAAAACTAAATAATAAAAATTCAAATACTTGACTCTAAATTTTCATTTTTTTCTTGCAAATTATATTTTAATATATAAAAATTCATTATTCTTATATATATATTCTAATTTTCTCTGCAAACATTATACAATTATTAGGTCTATTAATTGTATTTTAATTTTGAATTTTAATTATAGTTTTAAATGTTTTTGGTAAACTTCAATGATAATTTTGTATCAGCTTCATAGCAAAAAATATAATTTATTTCAATGTTATAATTTTTGATTTATTTATATATTTTGTAAAATGAATAGTTAAGAATAGTTAACTATTTCTTTTTTCGAAAATAATTTAATATTCGAGTATTTAATTTCTGTATTTCACTAGTCGTCTTAATCGTTAGAGTTCGTCATTTTATTAAATTTTTGTTTTAGTTTTGCGATATTTTTATTTTATTTTTCATATTTGTTCATATGCATAAATACTTTTTTAATTGTATATCGGTTAAGTTAAAAATAGTTATAACTGTTTAAAGGACTTAATGCTAATAATGCTTATAAGTTGTCATCAATACCAACGCAGTATACTCTCATTATCGCTAAAAATTATTATATATAATTTTAATATTATAATTTTATATTATATAATATATATTGAATATATAATATATATATTATATACTCAAATTGTTTATTACAATTGATTTTTAGAAATATTTTATACAAATTGTAAAAAATACATTAAACATTTATCATAAGTCAATAAAAATTGTTTATGGTATTGAGCGTATACCATCTAAAGTCGATCTTAATATTAAGCTGCCTTCAACCCAGAAATTGGGACGATCAATCATATTCTGCCATAATGATAACTCTTTACCACTGGCATCCATCCATTCACACTGACGACCATAACTTTTACCTAGAAAAAATTAATACATGTAAAAATAAAATTAATTGATTATAAAACAAATTTTTATTCAAAAATATATTTGCTTACCTGTGCCCAAAGAGAATCGTACTCCTCCTAGGAACTCATTGCTTGCCAAACGATCATGATCCCAAACGGTTAATTCTAGAGCACGCTCTGATAAATCATCTAATGAAACATCTTCATAGACGAATGTGTAATTCCATGTGGGATGCAGAGAGCGTTTCACAACAGGTGTCTTTTGTTTAGAACTGCGTGTACGATCAGGTAGTAAATAACTATTGTATAAAAGAGTGATCAGTATTTATTTATGTAAGCATTATATAGTATATAGTATGCTTACCTTTTACAAAATGCATCACAGGTTCCGTTTGCTTTTATTGGACTTAAATTCTTTGCTTCTTTGACTAATACATGCAATTGTCCGCCTTTGGTTAAACGATCTGATTTCGAAGCTACTGATTTAATACTACCGAATTTGCGCAGATTTGAACTACTTCCAGTAATGCTTGAGCCACGCATAAAGCCCGGTTTAATGTTCTCAGGTGGTATGAATTTCAATCCAACCACAATGTCTCCACGATTAGTAGCTACTTCATCAAATGGTTCACTCTAGATTAGGAGTATAAGTATAAGAAATAAACATATAATGTAGATAAATTAAAGGGAGTTTTATAAGCATAGCTTACTCTTTCTTGTAATGTATATAGTTGTGATTGTGGATTATCAAAAACTTTGCCTTGTAAACTAACACTGACTTCGCCCAAAAAATCGTTTCGACCAAACATGTCCGAGTGCCAGACTGTCAACCACAAGGTACGCGATTCCAGACTTGCGATAGGCATGTGGAAACGTAGAACTTCATCAAATATAGGATTTAATGTATGTTTCTTCACTTTGGTCTTTCGTTTACCAGCCTTTGACTTATCAGGCAATAAATAAACCTATAAAGAAAAATAATATTTATAATAATTGAATGTAAAAACAAATAAACGGTTTAAAGTAAAGCATCATGTATCATCCTTACAGCCCTATTAATTAATTAGAATTTAATTGTAAAACTATCTCAAAAATGGTATTTCGTGAAAAATATGGTGTACATAATCTACCTACAGAACTTTTTTTAAAATGTAATTAAGAAAATTTTGGTCAAGTAGTGTTATAATTACCTTAACATAAGGATCACTGCGATTCCGTTTAACATCAACTGCAGCAAGATCTTTACAGCGTACTACATGTATCTCTAGAGCACTCAATTTATAATTATACTGCATGCCAAACTCGACTTGACCTTTCACAGCGACTGTGCCATAACGTCCCTCTCCCGCGCCGGAATAAACGCTTGCCATAGAATCTGAACGTAACTATAAAATAAAATTATAATAATAATTAAAATTTAATACAATTATTAATAATAAAATAAGAAAAAAAATAAAAAAAAATAGAAATGCAAAAAAATAGTCACACAGACATATTTTTGTAAGGGTTAGATAGTCTCTCTAATGAATTCAGATCCACTTGGGATAAATGATAGAATGTGACACGGTTGGACAATTGATTTATAAATAAAATATTTTCAATTGAATTTTTATTTAAACCTTTTCTTTAAAGTCATTATTTCATAGGTACATTATGATTGAGCTAACCAATTTCATTCATAAACCAACAACTTCTGTATGGATGTAAAAAGACAGCCCTCATAAAATTTAATTAGACGTCGTATATGAATAAATGGATTTTTATTTAGCATTGTGATAGAAATGCCCGATATTCCAAGCAAGTAAGGTGATATTTAAAATTTTGTGTTGGTTGTTATACAGCCCGAATTAACCATGTCGTCGCGAGTGAATTCGCTATATTCATGGTATAATTAATATCGATCTGTTAGACTTTTTTTTACCAATTTGGGGTGAGAAATTATTCTTTTGTCAAATATGTCGAAGGAAGTCAAAATGAAATAAGTCCTTCTTTAGATGGTAACGCTCCAATTGTTATCAAATTATATTTTTTAATGCATGACAAACAAACATATTCGCAAGACTATAGTTTCCTGTTTTGTTGTTGGATACAAACTTGAAAAAACAATGAATACAAAGATATAATTTCTAAAAATCTGAAAACATAGCATGTAATTTCAAAAATCATTCACAATAGACAAGTTTTTAGTTTTGGCAACCCTATGTTAAGCATAAAACAGAGAAGTGTTGCAAAGTTCAGATATATCGATTGTTGGCGTTTTCCAACACTATTTGAAACTGAAAACCGTTACATTATTTTTTATTTAAAATATAAATTAAAAAATTATGCAAATGCATTGGAGTTTGCGTCGATTTATATGTAACAGATAAAATTATTAAATAATTTTATTTTATTTTATTTTTTAAAAATTTATTTTATAAAATAATTTTGTCTGTCAGTTTACATTGTGATGTATAAAATTATTTTTTGATAGTTCCATTTGTTAAAAATATTCGTAAATCTATATAAAAGCTTAAAGTATAAAGCGCCGTCTTGCTGCCACCAAGTTGATGAAGTTTAATTTCTTAGAAGCATGAGTAATGTATATATTAGAAACTAAAATGATAAAAAGAAATTAACATTATCTTTTTATTAAAGAAAAGAAGCCATTAAAGTGACAAAAAACAAGCTTAATTTCGGAAAACATGTCCTTGGAACGGATCACCATATACTTTTTATTGGTTGCGTTGTCGTTTCTTTTGTATTTCGAGTCATTTGAGAACACAGAATTGATTTTCAATCATCTGGGACTAAACAACAGTCAACAAGGAATAATCGTTCCCGTTTTTAACACAAATGCACTCCTTCTTTTTTTTGTAATTGTGTTTGTTCAGTGCTTGTTTATATTCTGTCTACTATTAAAAATAATAAATATGGGAATAAAATATATACACGACTATAGGTTAGAGGACATTGAAGAAAATTTCCATTATGAAATACAATCTGCACTTAAACAACGCATTGATGAAAGTACGTATGCGTCAAGAGGTCCAATACAAGAAATTGGTGCAGGCGACAGGCCAGATTCAGAGAGGAGAGAAATGCAGATCTTTGACCATGATGGTCGAATGAAATTAATAGGTAGTTCACACTCCAAACATTTATGCAAACATCACTCCTTTTAAGAGAAGTAAGCTTTTGTCGCCTATTTTTAATTGCAACAAAATATAAATTAAATTAAAATTTTTGTTTTATTGTAGGAGACTACAACTGTTCTATTATTTTTTTTTTTTGTACATATTATTTTAAAAATATAATTTATATATTCTTATAAAAATCTTTAAGTATTAAGAAAATTAATAAATAAATTCAAAATTCTTGAAGTAGTAATCCACATTTATCGCATTTAAGTATGTGTATATGTGGTTTAATGAAATGTATTGATTTAGTAGAACTGATCACTGATTTTCTGGAGACGACCGTTGTGAAAAGAGTTCTTGAGGATAAACTCAGAAAGAGCTAATGTACTTTACTCAGCTGCTAAGCCCATAACAAAACTTGCCTATAGGTGAGATAAGTTAAGGATATCGACCAGAAAACATGAAACCTATTTATGGATATATGTTATATTGCAATATAATTCGCAAATTTCCAATCCATTGCAGTTAAATGATCTTCAAGTCCATTAGAAGACCATATTGGACTTTTTAACAAAGGTTACAATTTGGTTTAGGCGGCAGTTATGTTATTCGCAGATGTTATTCTTCCATTAATGTAAATAAAATTAAGGCCATTCTAAAAATTTTATACCAATCTATTATTAGTTTTGAATCTTTATTGAGGAAAGTTTAGTACCTTTAAAGACTGAATGGTTGATCACAGCATCGTTAGCAAATTTTCTACCTAACTATTTGGATAAAATTTTGATTAGTAGGAACTCATGTAAGACATCAATGTTAATCTTGTAAATTAGTAGATAAGTTGAGTTAAGACATCATTTATAAAAATTTTAATTCACTTAAGGTTGTAAAGCTGATTAAAGTACCATATTTTTCGCTCATATTCAACTGTTTTTCTTTTGGTTGGTAAATCATGTTGAACCCTTATCAAAGTTTCAAAGACCAATTAGACGGAACTCTTGTAATTCATTAGTTCAATTGCAGGTAAGTTGAGTTTAAGATATTTGGATCTTTTAAGACTGGTTCTAGTATTGTTGGCTAATTTTTCCACCTATTTACTATGGGTTGAAAAATTATTTTGAGTCGTCATTAAATTAAATATCAAATTATGTAGAAATCGTACAGTTTATTTAAGTTCTCGAGATAGGCTTATCCTATATCTGCGGAAAAAGTACTTGGAGCATGGTTATCATAACTGCTATATAAAATTTTCAGAAGTAAATCTAAAATCTTCTTTGTGACTTTATATTAAATGAGAATCACAATCTAACTTTATAATCTATAAATCAAGTTTCAATAGAATTTAGACAGCAATTTATAATTTTACAAATAAATATTTTTAGATTATATTTTTCTGATCTTTTTTTAATATCTGTGAAAAGTAAAAACTTCAAGAAATCAACAATTTAATGCATGAGGTACATAATAAGCCAGATGACTTTCGGAGAATTAATTTGAACGTTCTTATATTTGCTTCACGGACAATGTATGTTTTTAAAGCGATTTTTGATAGTATGTTGGTTATAATCTTTTTTTAATGAATACGCAACGTACATTTAGAGATCCTCTCTAAAGGATCTTAGTCATTTTTAAGATGTCTCTTTGAAAATTTTATTTTTAAGATTTAAAATTTTATAGTATAAGAAGCCTCTTATAACATAGAGTTGATCTACTCTATAATGATTCTTAAAGTGGTTTTGGTCTTGAAAACGAGGAGGAATAGAAGTTTCGCTTTTTTTTATATCTTTTATATCTTTGATCAATAAGAATATTTAAAATCTTGAGGGCTCACTTTCTTATCCACCTTACCCACCTTACCCACCAAAGTTGTCAACCTTTAAAATTAGGAACTAGGCCATGTTCACAGATTTATCAGGTTGGTTTACTTTTACTTAAATGTTTGAGTCATGCCTTTTATCGTTGTTCGTACGCTGATCTTTGCGTATATTTTAGTGGTTCTTCTGGTCTGCGAACAACTCTAAACCGTAATATCACAACGGGGGTCATTATTTGAACTTAAGTGGGTTTCAGTATACAAAGTCAATAAACCAACTTAATCTAACCTAATCTTTTTTTTTTGTGAGTTTCATATGACAGTAAAATGGGTTAGCGGGGCTCTGTGGATCCCTATGATCATCATAATAGTCTATTCTGAGCTAACAAGCACCATAAAACAATCTTATGATAAGCTTGCAATGATGAATTAAAGTACATGTACTCACAATATTTATATACAGGTAATGTTTTTACAAACTGGATGGATTTTGGCAAAAAATCACTCGAATTGCATATTTGAAATAAGATAATAAATAATAAAAAAACTAAAGTTATATATAGGGACTATATATAATAGTGATAGTCTCTAGAATTGTGTACTTACACCGAGTGAACTTAAGCTGCTGCGATTTTGGTGCATGGCTACCAAACGATCGATATCCTCATCAGATTGTGTTGGCCAGTTGTCACTGCCAGCAGAACCGCGTGATTGTATGGGACTTGAGGCAGGGTCATTGCGTTGGCCTAGCACCGGCGAGCGGCTTAGCTCTTCAGCTGCAGCCTTGGCTTCTTCTGCAATAAAACAAAAAAACAAATGAACATGTTAAAATATTTATTATTTAAAAGTGAGAAAAAATAATTATGAAACATATTTGCATAAACAATGAAGCTGCTATGGTTTTTAATTTATGATTTGACAGAAACGTGTCTGTTTTTCGCTTTTTTGTACTTGAGATTTATTTGCTTTGGTTATTTGTTGTTTTCTTCTCTATTTTTCTTTTTTTGTTTTATTTAATAAAATAATATTTTATTTAAACTTTTGTGAATTTTCTGTGAAGCATTAAATACGATATGATAAGTTTCTTCTTCATTTAATCGCTTCTCTGCAGTTCTGTTTTATTCGGCGTGATTGCAAAGTCGAGTGGTTTTCAATTACATTCACCGTACATTTCTCGTCTTGCTTGCAAGTAATTCGATATCGTGGATGAATATCTGAAAATCACTGAATGCTAAACAGAGGTTGTAAATATCTTTTATGTTAAATGCACGTTTTTCTTTCTTGCAATGAAATATTTTTACAATTAATAAAAATAAAGTTTGCCTAAAAATGTATATAATATTGTGCCATTATATACACTTTTCTATTGGAATTTATTAATGAAATTTAGATTTTTGGTATAGAAATTACTCTTCTGCATCTTTCAACTAAAAAAGTATGGCTTGAATCTCAGTTTATTCCATTAAGTTTAATTGCATTTTTTGTAGAAAATATTTTAAAAATTAATCTTCGTCTCATATTATGCTTGGGAATCAAATAAAAAATATTTTTTTCATATATTATATGTCAAATAACAAAACAAGCCCTATGTTGCAATCCACAAGGCAACCGCCAACCTGGAGCCCCCGCTAAGACATGACGAACAACCGTGGACCAGAAGCTTAAAGACGCTAAGTACTCTTGGAATCATGTTACGAGAGAAGTAGGCAACAAAAAAAAATTAGAGGAATAGTTGAGGCTCTATGCTCCACTAGGAGAGAACGACAGTAGTAAATAAGTATATAGCAGTCATTTTAGTTCATAATTGGATGTACTTTCGAATAATTTAAATATAACTAAAGAAAACATTTATAAGTGTTTTATAGCTTTTCGCCAATGAAATTATCACAAATATTAAAGTATTACCGAGCTGTGATTATTGTTAGCATAAAAATATAGAAATAAGAAAGAAAGATTCGTAGGCCAAACTTACATAAAGAACAGATAGATGAGTAGAGATCTTAGCTGAGTTTTTAAATACTCTTAAAAAAGATACGCAGGACATAAAATACCTCATATTAGACACAAAATTTAGAAATTTGAACGCTAAAAGCCATCCCAGGGACCTCAAGATTGATCCGATTAAAAAATATATAAAGGATAGAGCTCTGAAATTAATTACAAAAACTGATAGGCTTGTCAACACCGCGTTATCGAATCTCAGAATGGCTATAGGCTCCTCGGATAGGTATGCAAATCAGAAGTCAATTATAGCTTAGTCTGATGAAATGATAAGCCATATTCCAGTCAAAGCGTAGAGAGAGGTTGTGCAGAAACCTCGCAGTTAATAGAGAGTAGAAGTGCTCAAGTAAACTGACTCTTAGCCTCAACATAATAATAAAATAATCGGAAAGAAATATAAAAAGAGAGTTTCGTTAATACTCAGTTTCTTACACTCATTTCTGCTATCTAGTTAACGCGAATATATAGTTTCCGATAGATAGTACCCGGGTCAAGCAGCAATGACTATTCTGAAGTTCTCTCAATCTTACAGCAAAGTTTTGGTATATATATCATCGAATGTACATAATTCTTGTCCCTTTGTCAGTTATTGATCCATTCGTCTCTCGCTTTTTTTCTGCCTGTGTTAAAGTAGTTGTCCATATGTACCACGTAGGAACTTAAATAACTTGCTTATTAATTCAATATTCATTATATTATTTAATAATTTAATTAAAAGACGACTAGCACATCAAGGATGATATGATGTGATTAAAATATGGCATTTATTAATGATGATGACGGTAACTACAGGTTTTTATTGAAGTGGGTGTTAATCAGTAACTTTATTTCGTACCATATGTAGACAATATTTAAAACTCACTTTTGGTTTGGATTGGATTTACGGTTTATCTGGTTGATGGTTCTTTTTAGTTGATAATTGAGTGGATATCAAATATTAGCCTTCTGTTGACGATTTCCGTATATTTTTAAGATATTGAGATGGTATTTAGAGGTCAATTACTAATTGTTTCTGTGTTCCACTCTTTTGAAGATTTTAATACAAAATATTACAAAATGAAAGCAAAATGACATTAAATAAAATTATTTTAAAGAAAATCAAACTTAGTTCAAACATAATCGTAGATGTTGTTTTTTTTTTATAGTGGCATCAAGAACTGAGTTTCAAATAATATTTAAAATTATCGGAAAACTAAATCAATGGTAACTTAACAATTCTAGTTTCTATCTAAAACTGCAGATCTAATCCAAATATGATATATGAAACTGATTCACAACATGTATAACATCACGATCAAGCAGGTCTTTGTAAAATAAGATCAGCTCATGAGAATTTTTATTAGTAGGTACGATATCAACACAGCTCGTCTAATTGCAAGTATTTTAGAAATTGGCCTGGAGAGAAACCCCTGGAGAGAAAATGTGGATTCTTCTTAGCACTTATTGTAGAATTAGTGGCAACTTAAACGAAAAAGACGCTATTATGAATTTCCTTTTTGATAGCCTAACTTTGGCTTATAACATAGAAGGAACTAGTTACGAAAATACTGCTCACTTACGGATATGATTTAAGAAACAATGGTTTCTAGATGATGATGGAGATAGGATCAATGATTATTTTTATGCAGAATTACTACTACTATTCGTCAGCTAGAAATTGCACAAAACCAGGCTCTGAGAAAACTTTTCACGGTACCATGGTACAATAGGACGAATGACATCCTCAGGGACCTTAAGATTGATCCGATCAAAAAATACATAAAGGATAGAGCCCTCAATATTATTTGCGAAAACTGACAGACTTACCAACGCCGCGTTATCGAATCTCAGAATGGTTACAGGCTTCTCGGGGAGGTATGCAGATCTAAGGTCAATTATTGCTTAGTCTGATGAAGTGATAAACATTAATACAGTCAAGGCGTAAAAAGGGGTTTTGAAGTTACCTCGAGTTAATAAAGAGTAAAAATGCTCAATTGTACTAACTCAAATACCTTCAACATAGACTATGAGTGGAATATGATATTAAAAGGGCAGATTAACATCAATTATGAGAAGCGGAAAGATATCTGGTGATTATCTTTTCGCTATTTATAGAATATCTGTAGTTTCTTCATCTTATTTTATTAAATGTTGTTAACAAATGTTAATCTTTAATTATATAAATTATTTTAAATATATAATATTGAAATAATAAATAATATATACGAGTGAATTGCTTTATATAACATTGTGTGCACAATTAAAATCCTACCTCCATTTGCAACAACACTAGTGTTTTGCAATGGTGGTTTGCGAGTACGAATGGTGTTCTTATCAGTTCTACTGTCACCAGCTGTGGGTGCGTTTTCGTACTCTTCCAGCGTTTCAAGAAAACGATCTGAATTTGAACGTAAACTATCATCCCAAGTCCACGCACGGCATTTGATATTTACTTTAGTTTGACTACGACGACGCCGGTAAGAGTTGGGCGTACATGTGAAAGGAAAGGAGACACAAGCCGCTGAATTAATGGGTGTTTGCGACTCGAGCGCTAAATTGTTTACAACACTTTTTGTGTGATTTTGTTTAGATTTTCTAAATATTTTAACATTACACAAAGCAGTTCTGTTATTTATACTCATTTGCGTACTTTGCGGTTGTGTGGCTGCAGTTGTGAGTGCAGTTGTCGATGTTGCTGCTGAAGCTGCTGCGGCTTCTGCGGCTTCCTTTTGTTTCATTTCAAATATGTAAGCAGCGAATTTCCCATCGATGTCGTCATCGTCGTCACTGTCATACTGATAGCTGCTGCGCTTGCGACAGCATAATAAGTTACGCCAACGCCAGCGCCAACGGCAACGCCAATTGAAGTTGCAGCAACCGAAGCACCTACGCTTGCGTGATTGCATTGTTGACTTTTGTTGCTGCTGCTGCTGCTGTGGGCAGTATTTATCGTAATAGCGTTGGGTGTTGTAGGTGCCACGTTGTGTCTTGCACCAACAACAATTGAAACGTAAAAAGCGCTGTAGTTTGTAGCATTTACGTTGCCGTTTGCGTCGCTTTGAATCGCGTGCGGTGCTGCTAATGGTACTATCGCTGCTGCGCATGCGGTTAAGCGATGCATAATTAATGTTGACATCCGGCGACTGTGTCAGTTTTGTTGATTGCAACTGCAATTGTTGCAACTTTTTGGGTTTTTTCAGTTTACTTTTCATTGTTGGTATCGGTGTTGTTGTTGTTGTTGTTGCTGTTGGTGATGGTGGTGTTGCGGATGTTTTTGATTTTGTTTTGCCGTAATTGTGAATGGCTGCTAACGATTTGTCATTGTGAGTTGCAGCAGCGGTTGCTGTTGCGTCATGCGAGGTGCCAACATTTCCACCGAACGGATTATATTTCGCATTTTTTGATTTCTTATTTTTATAATTAAATAAACGCGTTACCTTTTTCATTTTTATTTCGATTTCATGGATTTATTTTTAAAGTTTTTATTAATTTTTTAAAATAATTTTATTTACATTTGTTTTGTGTATTTGTTATTAATTGAACTATTGTAGGAAAAGTGAATGTTCTGTAGTTTTATATTTTTTATTTTTGAAATTAAAAAAAAAAAATTTAAAGTGTTTTTTTTCGAACAGTAGTGAATTACAACAACAAAAATTCATTTTATATTATTTTAATTAATTGAATTTTTGCCTAACCATACAGCTATACAGCGAGTATTGCCAAATATCCATCATCAGTGGTCTTGGTAAATTTGCTCTGCCAAATTTGAAGCTCAGAGTCAGCGCACCTTAATCAACTGACCCAAAGCCGTACT